ATGTGCCTAAATGCATCGCCTTGTAGCGCCGCTATAACCGTAGCATCTTATGTGAATCCACCAGTTACGCAGAACCGATGTTCCACTGGATTCCCACTTCCGGTTAGACCAACCGCTTCATCTGCTCTTTTTTCTTCATTATTTGGTACATCATCAACATTTCAACAGCAACAGCAGTTACTGCAACAACCCCAAAATCTAAGTCAAATTAGCAGCAATCGAACTCCTGAAACATTAGCCATTTTCTCTGAATTAAATGCTGTGCAGGAGTCGGCATTAAATTCAAATGCTACCTGCTATCCTCTACTACCATCTCTGGAAAGTTTAATACCGCTGACATTACTTCAGTTGGATCAACAAGTTTCCAATTCAATGTTCACTTCTCAGGCATCACCTGCTTCTGCCACTTCCGCATTGACCTCTAATCATAAAACGGCGGAAGCAAAAAGTTTTCAACAACAAACAAAATGGGTCGCTCCCATTAGACATCCCTTAGCTTCAGCGCGTCTTCATAGGCAACTTTCGATCATTGAAAATAATTCTAATAGTTCAACGGGAACAGGCATGAAGCGACCGTCGGATTTTTCTATTAATCGCTTGCTTCGGAAGCATTGCAATGGATCTACTATAAATAGACGTTGCGATATTCCTGCATCTAGTCGACATCAACCTGATGAAAGAAGTGGCAAGGGTCGAAAACAACGAACTATTTATGGTGTTTCACAAACTAAAATTCTCGAGAAAGCCTTTGAGGAGCAGCAGTATATGGTTGGAACAGGTAAGGTAATTCAAACTAATGTAGCCTTACCAGAAAACAATTCGTCATGTTTTTGTGAATGTATGCGCGCTTATACACTTCTGTTCATCCATAAATTCTCTTGAGATGACTAAAGCTTAGTGATGAAGCCGATAAACAACCTGGAAGCATTGGGGACCAATTGAACCGAATCTTATAAATCAAGCTTCCCACTGGAAGCATGATGTATGAATTCAGGATACGGAAGTATAACTTCTTTTAAGTATAATTTCAAAAAAATAACTTAAGATTTACAAAATTATCGAGTTTTTTGCAAACTTTTCTAGAGCGCGAAATGCTTGCTGAACGACTTGGATTATCGGAGGCGCAAGTTCGGGTGTGGTTCCAAAATCGACGTAGCAAGTGGCGTAAACAACTACGAGCCAATATTTATGTCCAATAAACCATGTATTAAAATTAAGACTGTGTTTATCAAAACTTTATTGTGATTCAGTCTAAATGAAATAGAATGTAATAGTGATTTCCAGAAGAAGTCTCATTCGATGATCTCACCGTTTTTTTTGAGATTTTGGTTTGCTAAATTTGATTTTGTCTGTAATATTTTTCGGAATGAATGTTTTTGCAGAAATGAACATAACAAAAGTCATGAAAATAATTCGTCATCGAGATTTCCCAAGATTTTCATATTATTGAAGAGTAGCGCAAAGCAAATATAAACTGTACATGTAACTTCCAACTGAAAAAATAATTCATAATAATTGAGAAAGGATAAATTTTGCAAATATTCATAAGCTTGCAGATGTGAAAATTAATTATTTAACTTTTCAATTAAATCCATGCTCTTACGAAGACAAAAACAGATTCATATCGTAATTTCTGCGAAACAAATATGAATCATCTCTTACCCAAATTCGGAAAAAATGAAACTAGCATTTCCATGAATTGAAATTAAGGTACCGAATAAAATGAAAAACAAGTTCAACTGAATGAAATTTAATGCCAAATAGTTGCATTTTTGGTGTAGATTTTTAGCTCACCGTCGAAAAAATTAGGAATGGAACTAAATTTTCCAAGAAATTCAAAAGAAATTGAATCGAACAAGAACCAATGCCAACAATTTCAATTTAAAAATCCGAAAATTATTACGGAAAGAATTCAAACCATCCCAGTAAACAAAACTTTAAATAACTCCACATTATAAAAATCAGTCATCATCAGCGATCGCAAAACCACGATCTTCATCACCGCCACTGTCACCAACGCCTTCATTATTTTCAACAATCTCATTATTTTCTGAGCCATCTTCATCTGATGAAACGATTCGTTTCCTTCTGGTTGCTTTCACAGATGTTTTTCCGACTTCGTCATCATCGCTGTCACTCGGTGAACGTGCACGATCTTCCACTGAGCTTTCAATACTGCTTTGATCCGAATTCTTAGTTATATGATGTTTTGTTTCTGATTGTCCATTATCGCTGAATATTATTTATAAATAACTTGTTTATAAAGCAACAACTAAATTTGAAATGAAATGAACATTCTATAATGCTTCGAATAGCAAGTTAAAGTTAAAAGGTTAAATTTTAAAATTTAAATCAGTTTTAATTGTACTCATCCCTTTACTTATTACTTGTCCATTCATTTACTGTTAACTTTAGAAATACTGTTTAAAGATCACATCTAAATCTTTTCTTAGTTAATTTGACTGTGAAATAAAAGACGATAAATTTGTCCCGAAAAATTTTTTCACTGCAAAATAAAATTATGCTTAAACACAGCCTTTGGATGAAAGAACTGGGTGCTGACGTTTGGAAGTTGGGAATAACTAATTTAAGGATACGTATCCAACAAGATTGTGGTACGGTATTGGATCTCAATAAGTATCGTATGAGATGGTAGGTCTTGGTAACTATAATTATTGCGGAGGTAAAGATCCTAACATGATACGTCTAATTAAATTCTGGCAATTAAACTCGATAATAATATTTAATGTAATGTTTTTCGTGGCATTATTACCATTCAAGTTACTGTTTTCATTCTCGTTCCCACTCAAACACATTTTTTTCCTACATGATCGCTAATTCCAAATAAGCGAAATGTAAAAACCTTTCATCATCGGAATCTGTTTGTTGAATAGCATCTTCCGCAGCACTACTATCACTTTCATCGATTTTTGGCGGTTCAGGCGATCCAGCCATATCACTGTCATCCGAAAGTCGTGATTTCGATGGTTTGTTGGTATCTTCATTCGAACTTGATTCATCCGACTGCACAAATTCACGACTTTTCACTGAAAAAAGTAAAAATCTGATATACATCAGATAATTTAAACTGAAGATGAAACCAATAAATGCGAGAGAAAGTGCACTACTCTTAAAACACGTAGCAAAAAAACTAACAAAAAATAACTAAAAACATTGAGAGAAATATGTATGGAAATTTAAAAATCCATAAACAATTAATTTTCGATACCAATTTTAACTGCAAAATAAAATTTCTAAAATTTCACAGAAATTAAAGAAGAAAACCTTTCGTTTTTTGTTTTGCGCTCAGCTCAAAATCATTGCGGTCAAAGCGCATCTTCTTTGATTTACGTCCTTCCCGTCGGTTACGGCTTTCCGCTTCATCCATTTCGCCACCGCTCCCTCCACTTGATACTTCACGGCGCTCACGTTTTTTTCGTCCCCTCCTTTCCCTCTAAAATGAAGCATTCGATAAAAATTTCATCGGATGAATCGTCATCCCACCGATCAATTATTTAAACCAAAAATAATAACCTTTTTTCGGAGTTCTCCTCCTTCACCTGTATTCCAGTCACCTAAATCGCTGTCATCATTTACGAACTCATCACCTTCACGATCTTTACGACGTCTTCCACTACCACGTACTCGTTTTTCTTCAATAATCTATAAACACCACAAACACGTTGTTTGAAGACTCAAACTAAGACTTAGCAATTACTAGCTATTTCACCAATTACTTTTATTCTACAATATAAAACATATTTTAAGTAAAGATAGAAATGAAGACGATCCCCAAAAAAAAATCAAAGGATTTATTTACCGTTGGTAATCTAAGTATTTCTTTCGTTTTTTCCACATATTCTTGCCGCATCTGTTTCAGAACTTCAAGCTCTCGCTTAGTTTTTTCTTCACGTTCTTTAGCTTCCTGTTCTTGCTGCCGTTTAAGCGCTTGTCGTTCTTCTTCTTGCCTTTGTCGTTGTCTTTGTTCCTCCTCATCCTGTGCCTAGAAATTGGAATCTAAAGTATATTTCTAACCTTTCGTTACAATAAAGTAACATCTCCTCTCATCCATGAACAAAGCGTACACTATCTTCAATTTTAGATAATGTAAGCAGAAATGATGATGAAGCATGTTAAAACAACGCGTAACATACTTTCGCTCTTTGAAGGTAAGTTTGTGCTTGTGTAAGTAAATCATAGCAAGCTCGAGCTTCGTTAGCAGAAGCAGTTCGGCTAACAACTCGTGCTTGGCTCATTGTATCGTCTTTGTTTCGCGATATGTATTCGAAAATCCTGTAATTATAAGCACTGAAATTAAATATGCCAATCACTTCAAAGAGAGAAACGACATCAAACGAGTTTTTTATAGCTCGTTTAATGTCGTTATCTGAAAAAAAAAAATATATTTTTCTATTAAAATCTAAACTAAAACATACGTCGCTGCTGTTCTTAAATCATCCACAGCACCAGTTACCATTTCCAGCGATGATTTGTCATCACGAAGCATTTGTGTCGCTAATTTTTGCAAAACAAAGGCATGATTGAATTTCAGCATCATATTATCTGGTGCTTCACATATAGCCTATAAAACACTCAGCAATCATGAAATAAAACCAATTTTAAATTAAAAAATGGTCAACAATAATTTCCTGGTTTAGTTACATAACTAAATTAACCAATATCAATTTTTTACTGTAATCTTATTTATCAAGGATCCATTGAGGTAGGAAAAAAAAACATTTTAAGGCCCAGAAACCATTATTTTCTGGAATACGAAATAAATAGCAGTATTTCAAATTATTTCATCATTGGCCGTAAATTAACAAGCAATATTGCTGATGACAATTAACTACCAAAAAATTGAAAAAAATTCTGAATACTGAATAGTCGATAAGCACAAACCTTTTCAAGGATATGTCTGCATTCGACAAATTTTCCAGCTTTATAATGTGCTCTTGCCAAATACAGCAAAAGTGACACATCATTATGTCGATTAAATTTCTTTATACAATTGTCATACATTTGAATTGCTGCAACATACTGCTTTTGTTCCATATAAACATGAGCTATATTAACCCAAACATCTGAGAAATCAGCTGTCGCTTCACGAACTTGCGCAAAAATATCCCTGGCTTCTTGGACAGCTCCTTTTTGAGCTAAGATACAACCTGAAAATAATAAAAAATATTTCGCATCAAAAGATTTTGCGGTTGAATTTCAAAAGTTACGTTCATCTGCAGTTTCTTCGTTGAACCACGCAATGGTATTCCACAGAAATGGGCAAATCAGCTGCAGACCAATATCTCACTATTCAACGTAATGAAATGAAATGGAAGTGAGATTCAATCTCGCACTGCACAAAACGCTCAAAACAATTCAGAAAACAATGGATGCTAACCGATTCCATTAGCCGCCCAAATATTCTTTGGATGTACTTTTAGCGCCTTACTGTACATCATCAGAGCTCTTTCACGGTAATCTTTATCCTAAATTGTTTTGAAATTAATATTGGTTATACTTTCAGATATCTCTGAAATCAAGATAAGATGCACTCATGATAATTATAAAGAAATCGCATCACTCATGATAAATTGGTGGAATTTAGAAAGCATTTCCATATTATGGGAATATCATCCAGATGAAAGACAATTTCAATTTTAAAACATGTTGTAACCAGTAAAATAAACAATTTAAATAAAACACAAACAAGAATATGATAAAATAAAATAAAGATCACATAAACCTTTTCTTTCTTTCTATGAATGGAAGATAATGTTTCAAGCCAAATATTGCCAAGTGCAACAAAGCTATATGGATCATCGTGATATTCCGGAAGTTTCAATATATATTCGAACTTTTTCTGCGCTGGTGCCCATTCACATTTTGACATATGCAAATTTCCAATCAATGACCAAGCATCAGCATGTGTTTGGTTCACGCTCATCCCTTCCTAAAAATCTTGAATTTTCAAAACTGAAAGCAAAACTTCAGAAAAATAATAGTGAAAAGAGATAAATGTATACCTTAAACCAGACCGATGATTCATAAATTTGCCCTTTATCCCGAGCAAGACATCCCAGTCGCATGTAACCTGAAAGTGATTATTCAAGTACCTAGAAAAAGCGAATATTTTTGACATTTCCAGCAGGAAAGTTCCCCCCTTCACCAATGTATAATATATTTGAATAGCTGCCGATAT